TGACGGGGATTCGAACCCGCAGAGTGCGAATCGAGTGCCCTAACCACCTGGCCATGCCGGACCGCTGTAATCATTCTCAGTGCTATTAAATAATTTACAAGACAGGTTTTAGGGTAAGTATTAATAACACATTATTTATTTATTTATTTTGGCAATAATAGTTTGCGAGCAAAGTTACTTAGATATGCAGTGTAATATGTTGGTGTATCTCTAGTGAAATGTTGTTCTATTAGAACGAGCAGTTTTTAAAGATATGCTTATTTTAAATGTTTATGATCGTCTTGTACTTTCGGTCAAACGCACCAAGTCGTTGTCGAATGTATACAAGTTTCACAAATTGTAGTTAGCAGGATGGGAGCTGCTTTCAGACACCAATACAGTTGTCAGGAAACCAGGACAAGGTAGACCCTTGTCGACAAACCAGTAAGAATAGAAACAAATTAACAGCATGAGCAGTCCTCAACTATCCAACTGAATAAACAGTTCAGAGCAGTAAAAGTCACGATGCAGATGGTCAGAAACAGGCTAGGTGACAATTCCAGGAGTTCTATCTTTCCTGTTGACTGGCTGATATCACCAGTAGCTTCCTATCTGTATAACATCCTATTGATTTACCATCTTTAGCTTTTCCATACAGTACTTTGTTTTCTAGCATTTACTCTCTATGTAGGCGATAAATATCTTCTATGGGCGCTGCTTTTGGGTTATTAACACAGAGGAGGTCGATATTCTACCAGAAGCGTTGTGAAGAATCTAATATAGGAGCTTCTCTTGCGAACTTATCAGCTTCGGTAAACGTCTTTCTCAAAGATGAACCACGCTTAAAACTGTGTTTGGTATGTGCTCGGGATCTAACCCTATTTTTGCGGAGAGACGATGTAAATATGACAGACTAATCAAAACTGGTGGTCACACCGATGTTCATTTATTCCAACATTGCACTATGAATGTCATACAGTACAGCAACGTAGTCTGACAACCATTAGTGTCGCTATATGCATATGTGTGGGAGTTGTAATTGTGACAGTCATTCCTGCTATTGGTTGACAGACGCTTCTCTCTAGTTGCTCTTCCTCTGACTAGCAGTTCTAAATCAAGGACGGCTAAGCCTGAACTTTTAGCCTAATGTTGCAAAAAGTTCATTGTAATCAGGTTGAAAATACCAAGTATCAGAGAAAGACTTGTCCTTTCTTGAAGAGAAAAATATTGTATAAATGTAAAAGTTGCACATGTCTTTACAATAAACTAGAAGATTGTAATAACGAATTAAATCAGTATATAAGTGTAGAACAGACAAATATTACACTGGTATAATACGGCTTCTTCGACAAAATATAATTCTTATTCATAAGATACAATTTAGGATTGTGTACAAATAAAGAAACAATAGAAATATTTCAAACGCTTCTAGAACATCAATTACTGTTGTGGTATATTGACATACCACGTGTTTCTATCTTCCTGTAGTATTATAGTGTTTATTCTGAATCTGTTCTTTGTTCTGAATAATTGCAGGTTTTACATAACTCGTCGTAGACAAAACTCTTTAGCTGATCTCGTTTCTAGTCGTCTTTATCCCTGTGAGAACGTTGCTTTAATGTAAGGATGTAGACAGTAGTGTCCTCCTAAGGGTTACGACCTCACTTATCTTGTAATGAGAATGATCAGTCACGTGGTAACGTACGTAACTCTGGATAAATGTGAGGTTTCTTGAAAGCTAAGGAACCTGGCATTTAAGAAGTCTGATATACGATCCTAAGGAAGACGTTCTGGAACTTTAGTTTGTCTAAAACCGTTTGAGAAAAGCCACTTTCAGCAATCATCTGGCACGAGAACAGCAAATACAGTGAACACACACACTGTATTTCT